TCTTGGGTTGAGTATCTGTCGGCTGTTTGGTTTTAAGTGGGTACTGTCTCTTTAAATTTCGAGAAGATCTATGCACATGCATAGTAGAACCCTCTGAGGGTGGGACTGGAGTAGCTGTCAACTCAGGCAACCCTATAGTCACCAGAATGGATGTACGCAGACAGCAAGGGACCAACGAAAAGATACCCCAAAAAAAGAATGTCCACACCTCTATCTCTGCCGCTCTGTCAGGCGTCCGTGGCTGCTCTGATCCTTTTCCCGCTTGGCCCCACACAAAATGGTGGCTCCCGGAGCAGCTGAGCGTCCAGAACCAGGAAGCAATGGATTTCTTGCTTCTGCCACAAACTCCCCAGCTGTAAGTCTTCCCACCTTCTAAATATTCCTTTATATGTGGTTCAAAGTACTGGGACCATTCCCTGAGCCTTCTTGGTCCTGCAGTCTGTGTTGTTCTCGGCAGAGCTCATCACTACACTTCCACCTGATCCGCCGCCATCTTTTTCCAGAACTACTCTCATTTGACTTCTTGACTGCTGCTTCTATGAGCGTCGAATTGACAGTGGAGCCAAGCAAAATGAAGTCTTTGACAACTTCAATCTTTTCTCCATTATCATGATGTCAATTATCGGTCCAATGGTGAGGATTTTTGTTTTCTTTATATTCAGGTGGAAGCCTAAACAAAAACTGTGTTCTTTGATCTTTATTATTAGAAGTTTTAAGTCCTCTTCGTTTTCGGCAAGCAAGATTGTATCATCTGCATTATCACAGGTTGTTTAAGAGTCTTCCTCCAATCCTGATGCCATGTTCTACTTCATATCATCCAGATTCTTGGATTATTTGTTCAACATACAGAATGAATGAATACGGTGAAAGAATATAACTCCAGCACACACCTTACCCAATTTTACAGTGTCCCTCTATTCTATTTAAACCACTGCCTCTTGGTCTATTTACAGGTTCCTCATGAGCACAATTAAGTGTTCTGGAATACTTATTCTCTGCAATGTTGTCCATAGCTTGTCATGATCCACAGTTGAATGCCTTAGCATAGTCAGTAAAGTATAGGTAAACATCTTTCTGGTAGTCTCTGCTTTCAGCCAAGATCCATCTTATGTCAGCAATAATATCCCTTGTTCTATGACCTCTTCTGAATCCAGCCCGAACCTCTAGCAATTCCCTGTCAATGTACTCCTGCAGTCCCTAGAATCATATTTGGCAAAATTTTACTTGCATGTGATATTAATGATATTGTCCAATGATTTTCATATTCCATTGAGTCACCTGTTTTGAATGGGCACAAATATGGATCTCCTCCAATCAGCTGACCAGGTAGCTGCTGTCTTCCAAATTTCTTGGCATAGGTGCCTCCAGTACTGCATCAGTCTGTTGAGAGATTTCAATTTGTATTTCACCAATTCCTAGAGCCATGTTCTTTGCCAATACCATCAGTGTACACTGGATTTCTTCATTCAATACCATATGCTACTTCTTGATGTTCAACAGTGAACATTTCCTTTTTGTATGTGATGCTGTGTATTCCTTACATACTCTTTTGATGTTTTCGGCATCATTCAGTATTTTACCAATAGAATCCTTCAGTATTGCAAGTCAAGGCTTGATTTTTGTCTTCAGTTCTTTTAGCATGAGAAATGCTGAATGTGTTCTTCCCTTTTGGTTTTCTGATTCTATGTCTTTGCACATTTCATTATAATACTTGACTTTTCTTGTCTTGCCCCTCTTTGAAATGCTCTGTTCAGCTCTCTTCCTCATTTCTTCCATTTGTTTGAGCATCTCTAATACTGGAAAGCAAGTTTCAGAGTCTCTTTCTGACATACATTTTAGTCTTTTCTTTCTTTCTTGCCATCTTAATGATCTTTTACTTTCTTCCTGTATGATGTTCTTGATGGCATCCCACAACTCATCTGGTCTCTGATCATTAATGTCTAATGCATCAAATATGTTTTTGAGATGATCCTTAAATCCAGGTGGAATATTTTCAAGATAACAGTTGACTCTCGTGGACTTGTTTTAATTTTCTTAAGCTTCAGTCTGAACTTGCATATGAGCATTTACTGGCTTGGTCCACAGTTTGCCTGTGGCTTTGTTTTGGCTGATGATATGGAGCTTTTCTACCATCTCTTTCCAAAGATTTAGTCAATTTGACTTCTGCGTATTTCATCTGGTGAAGGGCATGTACATAAACAATCATCTTTTATGCTGCTTAAAAAAGGTACTTGCAATGAAGAAATCACTGGTCTTGTAAAATTCTACCATCATTACTGGCATATTTTCTAACTACTTACCCTTCCTGTTTCCAGCCTTTGCAATCCAATTACCAATAATTATCAATACATCTTGATTGCATATTTGATCAATTTCAGACTGAAGAAATTGATAAAGTTCTTCAACTTCATCATCACTGGCTTTAGTGGTTGATGCATAAATTTGAATGATAGTGTTACTAACTGGTCTTCCTTGTTGTTAAGAGCGTCAAGTCAGTTCTGATTTATAGAGACCTGTATAGGGTTCTAAGTGAGACTGGTGAATGCCACCAACCTTGTGGCTCAAACCAACCCTGTGGTCCCAATACTACCGAGCGCCACACTAGGACTCTTCCTTATAGGCGTACGGATATTATCTTATAGAGACAGCATTATATTCCAAGTAAACTCTTGCAATGTTCTTTTTGAAGATGAATGTGACGCCATTCCTCTTTGTCATTCCTGGCATAGTAAACAATGTAATTGTCATATTCAAAATGGCCAAGACTGTCCATTTCAGATGACTAATGCCTAGGATTTTGGACTTCTGGTGTGGTGCTGTAGGATCAGCAATGGACTGCAAACCATAAGGTCAGCAGTTCACACCCACCAGCTGCTATACAGGGTTGGAAATCCTATACAGGGTTGCTATTAGTTGGAACTGACTCAGTGGCATTTAATAACAACAATGCCTAGCTAGGATATCCATCTTTATGCATCCTATTTCATTTTTGACAACTTCCAATTTTTCTTGATTCATATTTTATACATTCCATGTTCTAATTATTAATAGACATTTGTAGCTCCTCATTTTGTGTTATGCCCATCAGCAAATGAAGGTCTTAAAAGCTTTACTCCATTCTTGTCATCATGGTCATTCTACTTTGAGGAGGCAACTCTTCTTCTTCAGTCTTATCTTGAATGCCGTGGGGCTCATCTTCTGGCACTATATCTAACAATATTCTGTGATATTTATCATGTTTCAATATTCAATATTCTGTTAGAATCTGACAGTGTTTCACTGCTACTGATAAGGATTTCAGTGGCTGAATATTCGAAAACTGCTTCTCCTTCTTCTAAGTTTGTCTTAGTCTGGAAGCTCAGCTGAGACCTGTTCACCATGGGTGACACTATTGGCTTTCAAAATACTGGTGGCATAGCTTCCAAAATCACAGCAGCATGTAAATCACCACAGTGCAACAAACTGGCAGACAAGCTATCATCCCAATTCTTCCAGTGACACTCAGTCAGTCGTCTTCTCTCTTATACCCATGTTCAACCAACCAGGAAATCCTATTAATCCACTTTTAAAATAGAGCATATTTAGAATCTATTTTTTTCCCCTCCTCTGTGACTTCTCCCATTTAAATCACCTTAATCTCTTACTGAATGAACTATTAACCAAAGCAATCCTTTAAAAATTAAGTCAGATCATTTATCTCCTCTGCTCAAAATCATCCAATGGCCCCCACTGAAAACTCCAAAGTCTTTTAAATGACCTATAGGTTCTATAGCCTGAAGCAGACTTCAGATCTAGGTTTACATTTCATAAGTCATTTCTGTTAAAGGCCAATACTGACTTTTGACCACCAAGTTAATGACTAATCAAGAGATATTTCTTTGATTAAACGAAACCTAAGTAAAGCGGCACCTGCCCACTGCATTTTCACAAATTAGATACTAAGTTTGGATAAGATATATTAAGGCACATTACAATGTATAAAGGTAGCCCTAGTAGTACAGTGGGTTAGGGACTCAGCTGCTAATCAAAACGCCAGTGGTTTTAACCTGCTCACAGAAGAAAAGGTGTGGCAATCTGTTTCCTTAAAGATTTATGACCTTGGAAACTTTATGGCACAGTTCTACTCTACTCTATAGGTTATTCTATGAGTCTGAACTGCCTTTACGACAATGGGTTTGGTTTTACTTTTTCCCCAGCATATAGGGATTCTTGGTGGTCTGCCCTATAAAAACACAACAACACAGTGCTACAAAACGTCATCAACTGTGCACACATATCTGTGTCTCCTATGAGTGAAACCATCAACTCAAATGGGCTGGGGCTCAAAATTCCCAATAGATGAGTTTTACATTCTCCTTTTCGGTATTCTGTATCTTATCTTACACTTAAAAAAAAAATTCTTCTGAGCTGTGACCAAGATGAATTTTCAGAAAACTTTCCCTGGAGAGCACAAGTCACCTAGGTCAAAAATAACCTACCCATTCATACTATTTAATTAAGGTTCCAGGAACAGTAATCAGAATGTCAAATCAATTCTTGCATTTAAATACAAACAATGTCACATTGAGATCCTCAAAAATGGTGTCAAAGTTTCAATTATTTCTCTAAGCAGTTTGGTTTAAAATAGGTATAAGGCTGTTTGGTATAAAATAGGCTATTTTTAAATGAACTGAAACAAAAAAGAATACATGAATAAACACACCTATATGTGCCTAGACCTAGAGTTCAAATGAGAGGCATACAATGGAGTCACAGAACAGAGACTCAAACAAAGTTAAAGATTCAAATACTATGATAGCCTTTAAATGAGGCTAGGAACTGGGTTTTCTTACCTGGGCTTGTTTCTGCATTTCTCCTTTAAGATCATCAAAATATGTACTTTCTCCTTCATCATACTCTGCATCAAACATCTCTTTAAGTTTTCTCTTCTTATCCATATGCTTCTTCTTGGCACTTTCCTCTGTTTGGGACTCAATTTCTTCTTCCTTAACTTCTTCTACAGCTTCAACCTTTAACCCAGAAGAAAATCATTTGCAAAAATTTGTGGATATATTTTCTTTAAATACTAAAACAGATTTAAAAAGTTCTAGTTGAACTGCAAATATATTAATTATGATCATGAAAAACAAAATATAGCCTTTGATTCTAAATAACAAGATACTGCTACAGAAGACATTTAATCATCTGAATTTAAATTAATATTAATCTGACTGAGCTGGCCAAGCCCAAATAAAAATAACAGCAAATTTCCCAACCTAGGTGCTCCCAGTCATTACTCTAAAGGAATATTAGGGAGAAAAAGAAATCAATTTAAAAAAAAGATACGCAAATTTAAGAGAAGAATGATGACCAAGGAATGGTAGAAAGGAAAAACAATGACCCACAGGATAAAGGTTTCAAAAAATAATCAGGAGACTGGTAAATGAGTATGACAAGTAGTAGTGGGTACTATCCAAAAAATCAAGAACAAAAATTAAACAAACAACCTTTTACCATTCCCCACCTAGGATGAGGTGAGAAATCTATGCAGTCTGTAATCTACAGAGATAAAATCTTTCTCTCTAAAGACTGGTGGTCCAAGAGCTAATGGCCATCCCTTGGCAAAGTCATACCTGAGTATTTAGAGCTGATTTTCCCTTGTGCATATCCCCCGTTTCAAGGTCTTCAAAGTCACCATATAGCTCCTCTGGGAAGAGAACATCCAAAGGTAGGCTGTGAGTGAGACTGGAGTGGGACACTCTATCACCATCAGAGCACCATACTTGTTTTCATGACTACACATAACACAATTGTCTTACACTTACATATGCTTTCTTTTTCCTTTTGTAACTGTACACTTTCATACATTACTTCAAAATCCCACTTAGCTAAAAGCTAATTATCCAGTTTATTCTCACTACACAACTATTAGAATAGCTAAAACAGTGCTAGCCTCAAATATGGAGAGGATGTAGAGAAACTAGATCACTCATTTAATGCTGTTGGAAATGTAAAACTGATACAGCTACTCTGTCCATTTCGTATAAAAATAAACATGAAATTACCATATGTGGGAGAAAGATGAGCCTTTCTACGCCTATAAAGATTTATAGCCTCCAAAATCCTATAAAGAGTCAGAATCAACTTCAGGGTAGTGAGTGAGGGAGTTATATAACTCGCCATGTAAATTCTTGGGCATTTGCACCATAGAAATGAGACTTCATATTTACACCAAAACCTGAACATGAATGTCACTGATGTTTGAGTCATAATAACCCAACAATGGAAACAACCCTGATGCTCTACAATGGTGATACAACCCATGCCATGGAATACTACTTAGCAATAAAAAGGAACAAACTATTGTTCAGACACAAAAACTAGTACAGCTCCCCAGGAAGCTAAGTGGGGAAAAAAAAGTCAATCACAAAATTGTATACATACAAATGTATGTATATGAGGAGTCTTCAAAAAGTTTGTGGAAAAATTCCATTATCTTTTGAGGCCAACTTTTCACCAACTTTTTGTGATGTCTCATATACTTCCTTTTATATAATTATCTTAACATGATGGTGTGGCACTGTAGGATAAGCATTGGACTGCTAACTGCAAGGTCAGCAGTTCAAACCTACCCATTGTCCACTCCTCAGAAACATTATACAGGGTCGCCATGAGTTGGAACTGATTCAAAAGCACTTAATAACATCAACACGTTCTTCCTTTTATACATTATCTTGAAATGACAAAATTACCGAAATAGAGAACAGATTAGTATTTGACAAGGGTTAGGAATGAGAGGAAGAGGAGGAAGTGAGTGTGCTTATAAAAAGACACAATGAGAGGTCCCTGTAGTGATGAAATTGTTCTGTATCTTCACTGTTGGTAGATACACAAACTTACACACAAATTACAAATAAAACTCAGGAAATTTGTATAAGATCAGTGAATTTTATGAATATCAATATCCTCAATGTGAGCATGCATTATAATTTTACAGTCTGTTATCATGGGGAAAATTGGGCAAAGGGTACACAGGCTTTCTACATATTGTTGTTGTGTTGTTGTTAAGTGCCGTCAAGTTGATTCCAACCCATAGTGACCCTGTATAGGGTTTCCAAAGAGCAGCAGGTGAGCTTGAGCCACTAACCTGGCAGTTCAAACGACTCTGCAGTCTGACACATTAGCCCACAACACCACACCAGGACTACTTCTATGTTCCTACAAACTGCTTATCTATAGTCATCTCAAATAGAGGTTTAATTTTAAAAGGGAGGGAACAAAACAAGATAGTTGCATAAGTAGTTGTTATGCATCTGTCCCCCAAACTACACTACAACATCAGGAAGGAAAAAAAAAAGACAAAAAAAATCCCCACAGAAATTGGTGAGATCAGTGTTTCCAGAACTCTCGAAACCAGTCAAAAGGATACATCATCTAAGTGGACAATGAATAAAGAGAAAAACAAAATCCATTGTTGTCGAGTTGGTTCTGACTCATAGCGACACCACAGGACAAAGCAGAAAAGTCCTATAAGGTTTCCAACACTGCATTATCTTTTTTTTTTTTTTTTTTTTTAAGGCTTTTATTGTGGATTCAGTGAAAATTTACAGGGCATATCATCAGTTTTACATTCAACAAATCATACACTTTGTTTCATTACAATTATAATCCCCTCCATGTACCATCAGTTAACAGTATTTCTCTCTATTCACTTTAGCTTTTTTAAAACACAAACAAAAAAACCACTCAGGCATATATAATTTACACCTCCAAAGGGCACATTCTACAAGTCTACCTCCTGGCCACCAGCTCTTAGTCCTTCTCTTCTTAGTGCATGAAGCTAGAGTCCTCAGCCACTCCCCCTTCCTCTCCATGCCCCCATCTCTGCCTCCATCTCTGGCGCTGCTGCTTCTCTGGATAAGGTCCTGCACTCTGCTTGTGTGCTTCTCTCTTGATGGTCTTAGGGCCCTCTGTTTCTGGACTAAAAGATTAACCACTCCCCTGTTTTTGTTACAAAACATCTACCTTTAAAATTGTGACAGTTGCAATTAGTCATGATAACAATTATTCACTGCTGAATCTTAAGAATCTTATCCCCATCTCTTTTTACCAGACCCATCTAGACAAGATGACAGCTATTCAGTGAGGACTCTTTCTTTTCCCCATACTCTTAAACTCCTTCTTGAAACCTTGTAAGCCAGTCACTTCATGCCTTTATTGCCCCCACATTTTAGGTAGCCAATGTCTAAGTTGCCTGTCCCTATCTACACTGTGTACAGAGGGTATAGTATTGATACTTGATGTGAAGATTCTTTCCCTCTCTGTTGGTAGAGTAACTACTGCTCTGAGTATAGGTCAGGCTCATCAAATTGAAGCAATTTACCCTGTTTCCTTTTTCAATCTTACTCTACTCGAGTTCTGATTATCGAGCCATTGAGGCTAGGTCAAAAGGGTACTGTATGCAAGTTTGGGTGTTTAAGACTGTATATCTTAATGGAATCAAAACTACATCTTTCTTCAATGGAGCAGCAGGTGGATTTGAACTGCCAAACTTTCAGTTAGCTGTCAAACACTTAACCAGTGCACCATCAAGCTCTTAATCAAAAGAAAAGCTACACATAAGTAGTAGGAATGCTTTGGTTTTCTACTCATCTGCGGCCAACACCTTCCTTGACTAAGCATGGCCATCTTGGGGTTATTTGCAATGGCTGGCACTTCCAAATAGTGACCCTGGTGTGAAAATAGCAGGAGCCAGTACTCTGTGACAGGACACCTGGTTTAAAGTGATGATAGAAGGCACAGTCAGAGAGGCGACCTTGTGATAAAGCAAACAACTAAAGTCTTCAACAGTTAAAAAAGGAGCAAATCCTGGGTGAGAGATATGATTTCCAGAGTTACCGTATGATCATAATCAAATGTCTTAAGTTTCCGAAAAAAAAAAAATCACAATGCATAAGAAAAGAGAGAAAAGGGCAGCCTATGCAAAGGACAAAATTAAGCGATACAAACTGTCCCTGAGGAAGGACAAGCAAAGACTCAAGAGTCTATAGATGGTGCAAACACTTAACATGGTCTTAGCTGCTAACTGAAAAGTTGGGAACTCAAGACCACCAAAAAATGCCTAAAAAGAAAGTCCTGGTGATCCAATTCTAAAAACTCAGTTACTGAAAACCCTATAGAACACAGCTCTACTGACATACATGTGGCCACCATGTGTTGGGAGTTGACTCAACAACTGGCATACAAAGATTTTTTTAAAAAAAACTAACAGTATACTCAAAGAGGTCAAGAAAAACACAAGCTAAAGGAAACGACGAGAATAATGAATGCACAAAATGAGATTAACAAAGAGAAATTATAAAAGCAAGCGAAAGATGTCAACAAATTCTGGATGAACTTAGTATATCTGAGCAGGCAGAAGAAGAAATCAACAAACTTTGGGACAAGACATATGAAATCATCTAGTCTGAACAACCTAAAGAAAACACAACAAAGAAAATAAATAAAGTGTAAGAGAAACATTGAATAATACTAATATGAGAGAAAGGGAAACAAAGAATATCCAAAGAAAATATGGCTGAAACTTTCCAAATTTAAATAAAACATTAATTTGCATATATAAGAAGTTCATTGATTTCCAAGTGGATAAACTCAAGGAGATATGCCAAGATGCATTATAATCAAATGCCAAGAACCTAAAAGACAATCTTGAAAGAAGCAAAAATAAAAAGTAATCTACAGCATATAAGGGAGGTCCAATAATATTAAATGTCAATTTCTCCTCAGAAAAGACTGAGGCCAGAGGAAATGAAACAATATATTCAAAGACCTGAAAGAAAAAAGAGTCATCCAAGAATCCTGTAACTGAGAAAACTGTCCATCCAACCTACGGTGAAATTAAAACATTTTCAAATAAATAAAAGTGGAAGGAGTTTATTACTATGATGCTTGATCTACAAGAAATGCAAAACTATGTCCTTGAAGTTGAAAAGAAAGAACAATAACTCAAACACATAGGATGAGAAATTTATAGTAAATAAACAAGTCAGCTTTATGGCACTCTAACATTCTAACGCTACTTGTAATATGTTACATGATTTAAAACACAAATGCAAAACTATAAAATACAATACAATTTTGGGAACACAATGTTATTTAAGAATGTAACTTGTGACGACTTAAATGGAACAAAATTTTGGCATGTTAGTGAAGTTAGGAGGTAGTCCCTGAGTGGCATAAATGATTTATATTCAAATAACCTAAAAGAAATGGCCAATGTTCAACCATTTCAAGAGGTAGCATATGATCAAGAACCAATGATCCTGAAGGAGGAAGTCCAAGGTTCACTGAAGTCATTGGCAAAGAACAAGGCACCAGGAATTGAAGGAATACAAATTGAAATCTTTCAACAAAGTGAAAGTGAAACTGCACTCGAGTACTCACTCATCTATGCCAAGAAATCTGGAAGACAACTGCCTGGCCAACTGACTGGAAGAGATCAGCATTTGTGCCCATTCAAAAGAGAGGTGACCCAACAGAATGCAGAAATCATCAGACGGTATTTTTGATATCCCATGTGAGTAAAGTTTTACTAAAGGTAATACAGAAACGGCTGCAACCATACATTGACAATTCAAGCCAGTTTCAGAAGAGGATGTGGAATGAGGGATATCACTGCTGAAATCAGATGGATCTTGGCTGAAAGCA